GCATATGTTCTCAGAAGCTGCATTACTCAAAAAGCACAAACATTCTTAATTCCTAAAATAGGCTATTATTAGTAAATATTGACACCTTGAAATTTAAATTTATATACAGATATAGGAAACTAATTTTTTCTGGGAAGAGAAGAAGATCTAAAGGAGAACTTGGCAAAATTGGATCTTTGATTTAGTACATCAAGTCTCTTAGAGTCTCCTTATGGGTTAGTAGTTTTCTTTTATTCCATAAACCCTTTCTCCCTGTATTGAAATTATGGCGACACAATTCACACCTGCCGAAAACTTATAGATCTGAGATTGTCTCCCCTGGGCAATTCTTATACACACTAAAAGCTTGAGAACCACTGCAGTAAATGAAAACAGAACTCTTTTACTTTGAAATCCTCAGGCAAGGGGTGAAATGCCAAGAATCCAAAGACTTATGGCTCTTTCTAGGATTCACCTCTGGAAAATGATGCATAGAATCAGAATTTGGGGACTGGAAGGGTCACTACAGATCATTTAATACAAGTCTTTCCTTTGGAAGATCAGCAGTCTTATCTAGAGTTTCACAGACAGTTTAAGGTAGAACAGAAATCAGAACTCAGGCGTTTCGAATTTCAACCCAGTGCTTTCTTTTTTTTTTTTTTTTTTTTTTTTTTAGTTGGAGTCTCACTCTGTTACCCAGACTGGAGTGCAGTGGCTGCTCCCGGCCACCACAGCCTTGACCTGCTGAGCTCCGGCGATCCTTCCGCCTCAGCCTTCCAAGTAGCTGGAACTACAGGCACGCGCTACCACGCCTGGCTCATTTTGATTTATTGTAGAGATGAGGTCTCACCAAGTTGCCCAGGCGGGTCTTGAAGCAGTGCTTTCTTTAACATGGTTGTCATCTACAGTAGTGTGGGTGGTGAACTGCTCGACTCTACATGTGTCCATCCTACTGTGGACAGCCATGTGTATTAGCACGGTTTTCTGGCAGGTAGCAGTCAAGTTTTTTGAACAGCGCAAAAGTGTCTCATGGAGGAGATACCATTTTCTAATATGCACAAAGATGTCTCACAGGCCGTGGCAGACACCCGCCCTTTTGTTCAATATATCTTATTATTAATGTACAATGTGCAGGCTCTAATCTCAATCACAAATACAGTACAGATGTATTTTATGAAAATTCACATTATGCAAAGTTGAAATTGCTGATATAGAAAAATGCTATAAAGTTTTGTCATATACGACTGTAACTCTCTAAGAAACTGCCAGGCACTGCCAATTCCAACACTGGCTGGCCCAGCAGTGAATTGCAACCATACTCATGGATTGTCATGCAGAGGCACTGCATCACGTGGTCTGATGTGACCCACACTTACGATGTGACCTGGAGCCACCTCACGCAACGTCAGCAACCGTTGGGCCATTGTTTGCACTATAAACCCCTAACATGGAAGTTATAAGATGATACAACACCCTGAACCCCTGACAACCGCCATTCACACCTTACTATCTGTTAACTTAGGAGTGAGCACACTCCAAAAAGCACTAAAGAAAATGGAGTAAAGATAAAATATAGCATTAAGGCCAAAAAAAATCTCCACAGCAAGAGCATCTCTCACCTTATATTTATGTCTCTGTGAAAACTAGTTCTAAATTGAGTATTCTAAATGCTGTGAGGCATTTGGGAGAGTATCCCTCACACAAAATGCAGCTTCCCCGACTCGAAAAACTCTCCATCTTTACGTGATTCTAATCTCAACTCCTATGCCTGAAAGACAATGCATAAAATTGGAAGGAACCCTAGGGGTTTCCAATTTAACACCACATTTAGCGGTCTACAGGGCTATAATTCGCTGGGAAGCCTCCTAGAAGTCAGATCCGGTTTTGTGTGTTTTTAATTCTTTTTAGGACCCAGTGAGATGCATCACGATGGAGAAGAACACTTTGGTTCATTTTCCTCCGGGCTCTAACAGCGCTGGGGTCTGTCGCTAAGTCACCTTCACGGGCATCCTCACAGGGCTTACCTTCCTGATGCCTAGTCAACCAATTAAAAGAGGGGCCAGTCGCCTCGAGGCCCCCTTCCCAGAATGATCAGAGGATGAACGAGCTAATAAGCACAAAACACTTTTGAACTCGGGAGGAAAGTGAGTCTACAGTCACAGAGCAGGGTCCGCCCCGTGGTCTGAGTGGGATGACATCTTCAGATGAGCAGCGCCGGATCCTCCAACCTGCCTGATGCTGTTGCTGCTGACACCACTGGGTCCTTGGTTCTGGTGGCCTGAGCACAAGGAAGTCGGGGCCATTGAATTTCTAAATTCTGATGTTTAGTATGTATACAAAGCATCGAAGTGCTGATCACGGAGAAAGTTAGAACTTCTTTGGAGGCTTAAATTTATTTGGGGTCTTGGTATGTTTTTATTTGGAATTACACAAACGGGGGCAGGTGGTTCCATGCTTAGGGCTTCTGCAGGCCACTGCACACTTGAAAAAAAGAATCACCAAAGAAATTCAACAATTTCTTTTCAAAAACTTTCCAAACTGTCTTCATAAAGGACATGATAAAACTCTCCCACCAATAGAGATTTATCAGAGCAATGCTAAACTCTAAGAAGATAATGTAATTGCATTTAGCTGGGGAGTAGCCCATGCTTAGAGTCAAGGTCTAGATGAGATTTTTCAGTACAACCATCTCAGTGACTTGCAGATAAGCTTGGGATCCTAGAATCTGAGGAAAGATATTTTTTCTTTTTCTTTTTTTATCCCCACCTAAAGGCAGGGTTTGTCAAGGGTTCTTGGTGAGCTCTGTGACCCTGGCACTTGTCACCTCTAAATATACATGACCTCTCTAATCTGGCACCCTCGCTGAGATATGTGTGTGCATAAAAACAAAAGCTATATATTTCTATTCTGAGCTTCCTTCCATACTTTGGACACCCTCCAGACACCATTCTGAATATGACACTCTGTTGCAGGGCACTAAAAATGGTTCTTTCCTCAAAATAAAACCTTGAAAGATCCCTTAGTAGCTATTCAGGGACTGGAATTCAATTTCAATTCTCCACCCTTTGACCAGCTGTAGATTCAAAATGCTTACATAAAACAGTGAGCGTATAGGCTTCATGGCAAATTGATTTTTCTTCTGCAATAGAAATGTATGCTATAGTTACCACAAACGATATTTTCACTTAGAAAATACACAAAGCAATAATGCACCTCAAAAAGACAGAATGGATCTTTTAAAATTTTATTTTATAGGTAGCTTTGTTATAAGTTTCAGACCCACGTACTACACAGTTTGTGAAATCTACACTTTAAAATCATAATACTCTATTTTAGGCTATTATAGTAAAAGCATGACTTCTCAAATCCTTTTATTACAAGTAGTTTTTGCACATAAATGTTATATCACAATAGCAAAAAAATGTAAACTTCTTTTGCAAACTACATAAATACTATAATATCTGCATTGACGTTATTCTTATTTTAAATCAGAATATACTCTAAATGCATTATTACATAGAAAACTTTGGTCAGTAGCCTGTGTGGACAAAACATAGCTTTTCTTTCTTACCGACTTGCCTTTCCTGTTGTCTATTTCGGTCTTTGAAGGAGGAAAAATTCACAACAGAACCCAGATCAAACTTCTGTTCACAGGTAAGACAAGTACTAGAAATACGTTGATAACCTTGGGTAAAATATGAGATGTGAAATGATGCCACATACTAAGTTCAACAAGCCACCAGTGGTAGGGAGGTCACTGAAAATAAGGACTCAAGTCAAGCTCATATTTGATTCTGTGTGGAAGGGATTCAGCCTACTTGTCAATACACCTTTTACTCTGCTGTATAAAAATGTCTGTTTTCGAAGGAACACCTCTTTCTCTTTTCTTTTAGAGACAACAGGCCACTTCTACAGCTATAGACCTAGACGGGAAAGTCTAGGTGGCCAGTGAATTGACTTTATCCTTCACTATCCTCAGAGTCTTTAAATACAGTTAAATTGTCTAAATTTCATGTGTATATATACACACGTCTGCACACTTGGAAGATGACATCCAGAACTTTTTCACTTCAAATGAGGTCTTCAACGTTCACCTTTTTTTGCTGTAGTTTTTAAGTCAGTCTTCTTCCTTGGAATGCTCTTTTGCTTTAGAACCATGTCTAATCTGGAGCCCTTACCGATAGGTTATTCTTAGATTCCTGTTGAACATCTAGCTACTGGCCATGATTTCTTTGAGGAAAAAGACATCACTGCGGAAGCATTTCTAAAAACTTTCAATGCATGCAGAAAGAAAGAACTACGTAGGCTTTCCTAGCAGCTGCTTACGGTGGCTCCAGTAACATTATTAATGATTTATTTTGGCCAAAGTCCTTTAATGACATCCTTATCAAACACAAAGAGAATGGCTAGGATTGGGTGGCAGAACCTAGGGTGTTCTGTGGGGCTGGTGGACTCAAGCATTCACAGGGCAACAGGTAAGGGCTCACTGGGCCTCTCCCCTCTTCCTGTGAAAATTCACCATGTCTTCTCTTTCCTGCCCATGCTTCCAAACTACGCAAAAACATTTAAAAATCTAGCAGTTGGCCAGGCACCATGGCACATGCCTGTAATCCCAGCACTTTGGGAAGCTGAGGCGGGAGGATGACTTGAGCCCAGGAGTTCAAGACCAGGCCAGGCCACACAGTGAGACCTGGTCTCCACAATTAAAAACAAAAAATTTAAGATCGACCGGGCGCCAGTGGCTTAGCCGGTAATCCCAGCACTTTGGGAGGCCGAGGCAAAAGGATTGCCTGAGCCTGGGGGAGTCGAGACCAGCCTGGGCAACCTGGTGAGCCCCTGTCTCTACAATAAAAATCACAAAAACTGGCCAGGCATGGTGGCATGCATCTATAATTCCAGCTACTTGGAAGGCTGAGGCAGAAGGATTGTCTGAGCCCAGCAAGGTCGAGACTGTGGTGGCTGTGAGCATGCCACTGCACTCCACCTGGGTGACATGACAGAGTGAGACTCCATCGGGGAAAAAAAAAATCAAGCAGTGATTAATTCCGACCTCAAATAACACTGTACATGGGCTTTGTTAGAGACCGGCAGCCATTCTGAACAGCTCTGTTCCCAGAGTGGGCCTGGGTGGGTGGAGGGACATCCTCGGCTTAGGGGCTGCTTTTGTTGCAGATGGTGCCTTGGCTAATGCTATCCTCCATGAACTGGCTGCCTGTGTCACTCCGGCTGAGGACCGAGGAGGGGATACGGGAGGGGCGCCTCTCTGGGTTCCTCTCCTGGGAGAAGCAACAGACCATCTTCTTCATGGTGGTGTACATGTCCTCGTCCTTGTACGAGTAGATGATGGGGTTCATGACCGAGTTGAGCAGTGCCAGCAGCAGGATCCACTGTTTGACGTGCTGCACGCCACACTGCGTGCAGTTCAGGCCATCCAGGAGCAGAGCCACCAGGCCCGGGGTCCAGCACACCACGAACGCCCCTGCAGGGAAAGACAAGGAAGCCACAGGCACTCAGAGCTCAGGCTGCTTTTTCGGGTTTCTTCCCTCCCAGCCTTCAGGTGGTGGCGTCAAGGGACCACAGGATGGGTTTGAACAACTGCAAAGCAAACGTCTACCCTTCATAGGAGCCTTTGAGGCCAGGGCTTGGTAGAGGCCAACAGCTGGGGACACCCTTGAGGCAGCCCCATTCCTTTCTACTTTCTTACCTGTTTACCAGGTCTCATGATTGTGAGAGGCTCACAGTCACATGCTGTGTGAGAAGCACTACACGTGCGTGATCCCTGTGACTTCTCTGACCCACACTGGGAGACCGTTGCAATCACAATCCCCATTTGACAGATGAGAAAGCGGAGGCCCGGTTCCAGGGGTAGAGGTGGGGAGGCTCACATGTCTCGGACTCCAGGGGTCACACATTTAACCCTACATTCTGCTGTTTTCTAAATCAGGTTTTCAGAATGCTTTCTTGAAAATAAAACACATTACATCTGTAGTAATCTCCTAGTGGTTTAACCAAGTCACCTGTTCAAAAATTGTATTCTTCATAAATCCATGTTGATGCTTTGTAAGCACTATATATATGGGGGGGTGCCAAAAATGTATACACATTTTAAGAGCTGTTATCTATATATTATTTTTCAAAGTTAAATTGAATTACTGTAGCAACGTGCAGTATGACGTTTGCACAACCATGCTTCTGCCATTTTCTTTTATTGTCCTGCCTGTTGCATGGGATGTTTTCCTTGATTATTATTTTCTTTATTATTTTGCAAGGATTAAAAATCCATTTGATTCCCCTATGGAAGAATATGCAGAAAGGCAAAAGATGTTGAGCTAGAGAGGAAGAGTTGGGGGTGACTGGGAGTGCTGGGACAGGTGTCATTGGGCCATTAAGCAGTTCATTGCCATCATATGGAGGACCTTCCCACAGAATTAAATGCAGACCCTGGCACCATAGAGAGTATAGCTCCTTGGTTTCTAGGACACCATATTCTCTGGGTTGCCCCTTCTAAGTCTCTTTCATTGGCTTTGTTGTTCTCCTTGACTTCAAAATGCTGAAGGACTCTGCTGCTGGTCCAGTTCTCTTCTTGATCTACCTTCACTTCCTTTATGATCTCATCTAGACATATGGCTGTAAATATCATCTAGTATTCATTTGCTTAATGCCATCTTTTGACTGAATGCCATGCTTAAAATGTGCATACATTTTTTTGGCATCCCCTGTATAAGTAACACACACACACACACACACACACACACACACACACACACACACACGTCCTCAACTTATGAGACCCCCAAATCAGACCAGTTTTTTCACTTCTCTATACTCTATCCCCTCCTTTATAGGAGGGTGGTTGTGAGGATTCTAGGGACGAGAAAGGGGTGCCCAATACTGCAGAGTTCACTCAACCATGGTTTTCATGAGATGATTTGTTCCCACCAAAATTAGATATCTAGAGAGGGTAGGAGGGTTTAATCCTCCTTGTCATAATTACAGTTCACCAGTGGCTCTCTTTTTTCTCCATCCTGTATTATTTCTGGTCTGCTTGGCACATGTGAATAAAGAGCAGGACTTGGAGATAAGAGATCAGAGATGTAGGTCCTAAGTCTTCACTTCTAGTGCAACTCTGGGGCAGCCATGTCACTGCTCTGGGCCTCGGCTTCTGTAGCTGTAAACTGAAGACTTTAGGCTAGGTCTGGGTTTTCAAACTGTGGATCAGAACCCCTTAGTGAGTGTGCAATCCATTGAATGGATTCAGGTCAGTTTTCTATGTTTTGTTTTGTTTGAGTCAGAGTATCACTCTGGCACCTAGGCTGGAATGCAGTGACATGCTCACGGATCACCACAGCCTTAACCTTCTGGGCTCAGGCGATCCTTCTACCTCAGTTTCCTAAGTAGCTGGGACTAGAAATGCATACCGCCACACCTGGATAATTTGTTTGTTTGTTTTTTCTGTAGAGACATGGTCTTACTATGTTGCCTAGACTGGTCTTGAACTCCTGGGCTCAAGCAGTCCTCTCACTTTGGCCTCCCAGAGTGCTGGGATTATAGGCGTAAGCCACCATGTCCAGACTTGTTTTGTTGTTGTTTGTTTGTTTTTTAATAGAATGGGATAGAATAGATCAGAGTGCATTACACAGACTAAGGGAGGTATTTTTTTCATGAAAGGTTTGCTTCTGTTTTATATACTATATTTATGTGTGTACTGGTTATAAAGTATATTTCTTACTGTTGAGCTTGATCAAAAAGTTTGAAAACCAGAGTCCAGAGAGTCCAGTTCCACTGATCTGTACTTTCCATAATAGTAACATTTTGTTCTCTCTGTTATTCCCAAGAAAGGGTTACTATGTTGTCTAGAAAGAACTAAACAAGCCAAGCATCAAAACCTGTAGCAACAAACTTTGATGTGAGGCATCCTTTCTTTATGAAAGTGATAATTCCAAAACAATCCAGTGGGAGTGTTCCAAGGTCCTTGTATTAATGGGAAGGAGAGAAAAGCGCTGACTTATTTTATACTTTGTTGAATGCGGAAGTCACACTTTAGTAGACTCTTTAACTTCCAAACCAATGGAAAGGAACAATGGAACTACAGGAAAGGAAGAAAAGATCTTAATATACAAAGAGAGAGAAAAGAGTAAAACAGATAAAAGGGAGGGAAAAGGAAAAAAGGAGAGAGGGAAAGAAGGAAGGAAAGAGGGAAGGAAGGAAGGAGAGAAGGAAGACAGGGAGGGAGGGCATTAACAAAAAAAGAGTGAGTCCAGAGGTGCTCATCTGGGAACCAGTGGAAGAAATTATGTATGTTTCTCCTAGACAAAAGGTTAAGGAAAGACACAATGTGTTCACTATCTCCAAAAACCTAAAGGGCCATCACATTGTGAGAAGAAGCACAGACATATCCTGGGCTATTCCAGAAGGTCACTTGAAACAAAGAGGGAGAGTTTGGATGTCAGACTTCTTAGGTACAGTGAGGTATTTAAGAGAGGAATCCATTTTTCAGCAGGTAAAAAGCCTCTTTTGACCAGGGTATGTCTGGATCATCCCAAGCAATTCAAAGGGACAGGATTTTTTCTAAATGAAAGATGGGACTAAGTGGTTTCTGAATTGATTTCCAAGTAGAAAATTGTTAAATTCTGTGAGATGATGAGTTTCAACTCTCTATAAAATTCAAACAAATTTGACTTACTTTGTTTCTCAGACACAATTATAAAGTGGCAAGGTGGCAACCAAGATCTCTCTAAACTGGTGATTTCCAAACTTGTCTGGGCATCCAAATTATCAGTGAAGCTTTTAAAATAATGTAGACTCCCTGATCCCATCAGACCCAACAGTCAGAATCTCTGGAGTCGGCATAGAAACCTAGAGGACTAAAAAGTTCCCTGGGTAATGATGACCCCCAGTCAGTTCTGTAAACCATTTCTCTGTGCTTACCCCCAATGGTTTAATCAAGTTGAGCCCAACAGCAAAACTGTAGACACCTCAGACAGAGCAAAAAGCCATTGAAAAGACTGACAGAATTCATTAAAATAAGAAAACAAGCATCTCTAGACATCCATATCTTCAACTTGCATTTGGAAAAATGTTGGAGTACATACCCACAAATAAATACACAAATGCTAGCAGTGAAACTAGTCAATAGGCAAAACTGTAGGCAACTAGTTCCTAGGCAAGGCATTCACATCCCTTCTCTGGGCCTCTATTGGCTCTTTGCTTCCACCCGCCAGAAATGCCTTCCCACCTCCTCATCTAAGGCCTACTTTTTAAGCTTTGCTCATATTCCGCCTCTTCCCATCTCTCCCACACAGTCAGCATTTCCTCCTCTCAACTCCTTCAGTGCTTTCCAACAACAGTACTCACGTGGCACCAGGCACAACACCTGCCTAATTCCACCCTCGCATTTCCTGAGAGCTTGGGGCCAGGCAGTGTGCTCAGGGCCTTTCGTGTAGCTCCCATTAAAAACTCACAGCCCTGCAAGGTTGCTCCTCTCATTATGATCCTAGTCTAACATACAATGAATTGGAAGTCTAGAGTGGCTCAGGAGTTTGTCTTAGGTTCACAAGCCAAAGAATAGAAGAATCAGAATTTGAACACAGGTCTGACTCCTTATACAAACTCTTAAGCACTGTGCTATACTGGAAGTAGTTGTTTGTTTGTTTTGAGTTAGAGTCTCACAGCCACCCCAGTGTGGACCCGCTGAACTCAGGATCCTTCCACCTCAGCCTTCCAAGTAGCCAGAACTACAGGCACATGCTATCACACCTGGCTAATTTTTTTATATATTGTAGAGACAAGATCTCACCAAGTTGTCCAGGCTGGTCTCAAATCTCTGGGCTCAGGCAATCTTCTTGCCTCAGCCTCCCAAAGTGCTGGGATTATAGGCTTGAGCCACCACACCTGGCCGGAAGTAGATTTTAATATGTATATCCTATATTTCAGGCATGTTAGGAGCTCCCTAAGCATGAAGGCTGTGCCTCATACCTGTTTGTATCCTTAGACTTAAGGATGGAGTTCCACACTCAGTGGTGAAGAAGTGAGTCAGGTGAATTCTGCTGAAGTTTATTAAAAGCCAACATGGGGCTGGTCGTCCACTAGCTGCAGCATCTGTTGAGGTGAACAGTGTACAGTACTGCCCTTCAAGGACTGACGAGATAGACCCTAGATCTGATGACTCTAACTACTATCAAAGAGGATCTCTATCAAAGTGACACTCAACTGAGCTGGCGTTGAAGGGCAAGCATTACTGTGCACAGGTGAGAAACAGCGTGATGCATTTTGGGAATTCCAAGTAGTTCAAGATGGTTTTAACCTAGGTAGGTGATTGAGGAAATAAGGTAAAATCTGAAAGGTGAACCTAGGCCAGATTCAGAAGGTCCCTGGTGTGCAATACTCAAGAATTTGGGTGTATTGCATACATCAGACACTAATAAGTCTTTTCATCCAGGAGCTCATTCAGAGAATTTAGTTGAATGCCCTCAGGCATTC